TTTTCCATGTTTTGTGAATAGGTAATAGGTAATCAAATAAAAAGAAATAAGAATCCCCATAAAAATACCATTACTACTTGAAATTCCCAAGTATTAAAATTAGTTTATTAGTTGGGTACTTAAAAAAAACATAAGTATAAATAAACATAATCCGATTTCGTGCTAACTTTTTATTTTATTACAATTGAACAGGTGACTTATTTCTATAAAAGTTTTTATACATAGCAACCACTTAATACAGAAACTTTAATTGAAAAGAATGTATTTTTAAACTAAAACCATTCTTATGTGATTTCGTTTACCCATGGGCCATGATGACACTCACAGTCAAACATTACTTTTCTCGTGAAAACCTATATATTTTGTTTTGTGCATTTTTAAAAAATAAAAATGAATTTATTCTAAAAGTTTAAACACGCGAAATCGTGTATAAATATAATATAAATATAACTATAAATCCATTAAAAATTTCCTGTATTTTATTTTTCGACATTGTTTAAAACTATAAACTGTATTTTGTTTGAAATTTTTATATTTATATTAGTGAATTCTGTACTGGAAATATAGCGTTATTATGGCAATATTAAGACGTATGATTGAAGCATATTTATATATTCATTTAATCGTTTGTAAAATATTAATTTGTATTGCAAATTATTGTTTAATATTTTTACTTTTAATGTTGATTTTATGTTAAGGAGAAAATTATCCCGTCTAGAAGGGATAAATGAATAGGGCTGGGAGGAGTGTGTGTAGATTCATATAAAATATACTATATGTGGAAATACAGAAACATCTTATTGATAATGCATATCGAATACGTATAAATGTCATATTCTTTTGTAGGTATTTAATCTGTCATATTATATGGCGTTATTGAATTTTAAAAAGTTCAATTTATACTTTTATAAATAAATATAATTACACCGCCGCTACCACAATATTGAGTAACGTTCGATCACCGTCATTTCCCCTAAAAGAGGCCGTGTAATATTTTTGTTTTAGGTGAGGGTTAATGGTGCGTGCTAGTTTAAAAAATTGTGAACTACCGAAGTTGTTTACGATAAGGATTGCGAGTACTCAGTTGTAATTAACCATCGGTATATTTAAGTTTCATATACACCAAGCCCGGGGCCAAGCTGCTCTCTACCGCTGACTAAAATTTTTTACATCGATTATTATTATTTAGATCATACCGAAATACGCACAGTGCATTGTACATAATATGTATAACCATCAACAACATAAAACATATATTATAATATTATGGTCGTTGTACCATAACCACAGTTAATACTTTAGATCTGTGGAAGTGTGGACAACTAAACGTCTACATCCAGGCCTCAGGGGTGGGCAGCGAACCATTTTCAGGTTATGTGCCAAAATGTTGTAATCAATTAAAATAATGACCTATTGTCATCATTTACCATAAATTATTATCATGTCCGGGTAACTTTCGAGTCTTAGATTAATTACAAAAAACACACACCGCAAACCGAAATTAAGGGTAATAGAAAAATACGCCAATATTATAATATTTATTCCTATATACACTATACCAACAAGAGTTATATCATATAAAAAATGATCAAAATTTATAAAAACAATTCATCATAAAATAATGTCGATGTTAATATATTTAAATTAAATCATAACGTCGTCGTATCATCTGATCACGGGTGGTAAGCAATATTCCCGTCGATCCGAATCGTTGGGCTATTTCGCAGCAAAATCTATCGCTCGACAATATTATTCGTGCTCGATATTATTATTTTGACTGTTATTATATTTTGATCAACAGCCGAACCTCTATGACTGCGGATTCTGAGCAGCCCGCATTTATGATGGGTATGGACGAATTTCGGACGGACGACGTGTGGTCAGTATGCAGACATGTTGMGTCGTACGTCGTACAAAAATATTATTACAATTCCGTAAAGAGAGTCTCGTCGCCGAACGCCAACCCTTCGCAGAAATCGGGAATTCGTGTCCAACACGATAAATAATGAGACATTTATATATATTATATATATAAAACGCAATTATTCATTACAATGRTTTAATTATTATTGGTACATTATTACGTCTTTATCGCGATGGAATCGATCCGTGAACGGGGACCGGTTCGCGAAAACCCTCGAGCCAGACAGGCACGTGTCGACGGGGACAAAAGGGCCGCCGCCACGTGTGCCAGACTCGAGGTCGCCGGTGGCGGGAAATTCGCAGACGTTGCGCGTACAGTTTTCAAGAAGTGCTCTATTTGTGTTGTTCGCGTTTTCAGGCGGCACGTGCCGGAAGGAATATAATATGATATTATTTTATTGTGTATACAGTCGCACTGCCAGACCAGACGGCGGCGGCGGTTCGTGGAATTTCCGTCCAGACACGACTTTCCGGGCACCGGGGTCATCGCGATAATGACGATTGCATGGACGATGGTGGAAAATTACGATGTAATTCCAACCGACGAACCGTTTCTTTTAGAGCGATCGAATTTGAACGCGAATTATGACTCACGCGATCCCGTGTATATACCTGTTGCTTGAATATTAAAAAAATCCTTGAAATTTACTAACCGACTACTTATACTGACTACAYATTGTGTGCTTAAAACGTGATATTATTATCATGGAAATCGGAAAAAAAATCCACAGGAAAAAAATCCCCAAAGCTATTCCTAACTGTTGTATACTTGTATATACAGTATTGTTGTCTAAAATAATAATTAATAATGGTAAAAAAAATTGAATGATAACTATTATAATATTATCTTGATCGCACAGTTAGATTACGCAAGAAATAAAAATAATAATGATAATAATGAACAGTATTAAAAATACAAAATATCATATTGCGAATAAAATAAAAATAATAAGAAATTTTGTTCCGATCATTTATCATTTTATTATTTGTAAATCGTACTGTTATGTTGATTTCGATACGTGGATAACGTCTTTATCTGTGATTATGCGATTAACAGCAATATTATACGTTCTGGACTAATTGGTCAATCGGTATTACATCGAAATCGCGTTTATTGAGAGGACGTTACACAGAAATTTGCTGTCTCCGTCTAAGATGTTTTATTAATATATAAGTAAACTTTTCAAACTCTACAAAGCAAACTTTGGGGATTTTTATTCCAAGATTCATTATATCATTCGTTAAATGTTCACAAAATATTTAAAAAAAGATAAATCAATAATTCCTGTAAAAAACTAAAAACTAAAAATATTTATATTTGGCCTATTATTCTAAAAATAAATTTTTCATTAACAGTATTGTCGTCAAGTGATGGTATACGGGTGGTTTTGTATAACTGAATTTATGAAATTGTATTCTCATTGTTCAAATAAAATATTTTTTTCAATTATATTCGAAAAAACGCGTTCTAAAATATCGGTTTTCCGTGGATGCTCTGTTCATCTGTTCACCGGTCACCGCCAGGGGCGTAATTGAGGGGGGATGAGGGGGATATATCCCCCCAGAGCCTATATAATGTGTATATTTATATATTAATTTGAAGCTTATGGAATTATATGTTTTATCGTGCTGACATCACGACGAAATATATTAAATATAATTAATATCAGGAAATCTATAAATTTAAAAGTAAACTTTAATTTTAATATATTCAAAATTTATATTTTGAAGAAATTATTATAATATTGTATAGGTACTAAATTGTGTAGAATTTTAAAGCACATTTATTAATACATTTTGTGTACATATATATAAGTTTAAGAATTTTTGATGAAATAGTTTTCCCAGATATTGTACTTGAAAATCTAAGTATTTTGTGTGGAAAAAAAATGTTTATCCCCCCCTAAGACAAATTCCTAATTACGCCACTGGTCACCGCCATGTATGCAGAAACTAGGGAAATCATTAAAAGACACTAAATGGGTAGAAAATACAATTTCAAATKTAATAATTAGAGGAGAGCGGATATTTAGGTTTTACATAATTTGACTGGCTTTATGCAACTACGAAGATGAAAAACGTGGACGATGTATTCATCACAAGAACGTAGGAAACATTTATTTTGCACATTAAAGCATATTTTGGACATAAGATAATACTTACCTTATTTTTCATATTTTATAATATATTCTTTTATTGCTCATAATAGTTTTGTAATTTGTTTTTTCTCTAACATATTAGCATCATATTTTAAGCTTTTAAGAACCTAAAAATCCATTATTTAGAATTAATAAACGCATGGTTTAATAACACAATTCGCTGACAAGCGTGAAGTTAAATTCACGGATTCACTTGAATCTAATTAAATTCACAAATTCACGTGATTGCATGCGGGAATTTAAAATTCAYGTCTATCCGTGAATTTGACAACACGTGAACTAGAGACCTCTAGTTTCATTTYCCCAATTTCGAGATAACGGCGGTTTACACTAGTGTCTTTTCATTTTTAACTCAATAGAAATCCGAATCATCATTAAATTCACAAAACCCATTACCGTCATAACTCATAAAGTCATAACCATAAGTCACAACGATTGCATGCCGCGAATAATGCGAACACGCATAATGCATTAATGCCAGAATGCACATTGCACAATATACACACTGTTAAAGTTAATAAATTTGAACTATTTTATTTCAAAATAATAACAACACAAATTGTACAACATTAAGTATCATAACATAGTTAAATTCTAATAATAAATTACATAAAAAGAGTTTAATAATATAAAACTTTTTCAAAAATATATTAATGGATGACTTAGTTTGTTAAAATAACTTATATTAGTCTACCTAAAATATTATATTATATTGACTTTATAAAAAAATATATATATTTAGATGATATTGTTAGTTCATAAAAAAAGAAAAAAACATTAATCATTAAYAAGATTTTATGCTAACTGTTAAGAACAAGCGCCAAAATTTCAGTAACTACCATACTACCAAATAAAAATGTATTCATTAATATTTATTATTAACCGGTAAGGAACAAAAAAATATTGACAATTAAAAAATTGGATAACATAAATAACAAAAAATGAATAAAAATTACATTTCAGTATAGGTGGATAAAAACGATTTTAAATGAATTGCATTATTTAGGTAGTTGGTAGTTTAAATATTCCCATAGTTATTTTAGAAGGGGTGATTGTCTTATGAGTTCGGATATTATATGCCTCTTAAGTCTAAAGTTAATTTTGATCATTTAAATTTAACCAAAAAGTTAGCTATATTGACGATTCCTTGAAATCTTACGTGTCTTATCATTGAGTTTTGGTGGAGGTGGACCCCTAGCAGCAATATGCCGATTGTAAAGACTAAAAAAAAATATATATATTATAATTTAAAAAAAATACATATAATTATATATAATATAGTTTATAAAATATAAATAATGAGTTAATAATTCTATTTTATTCATCAACTAATATAATTTCATAAATAAACTTTAAAAAAATTCATAAAAATTCTATAGAAAAAAACAAAATTTACTATCGCAACTAGAATAAAATAATTGATTCAAACTTTAAAATATTAAATAACAATAATTTATTTATTCATCAAATAATATTTAACAATACAATCATGTACAAATAATAAGATACTTGATATCTCTTCAAAAAACATAGATTGTGTTGGTAGTAAATATTATTATATGTGTACTGTTTCTTGAGATGTTTTAAACTTTTAAAGTATATTATATATACCTACACCATTACTTAATTAATTAAATATTTTATTGGCTTTAATGTAGTTTTAGTTTTTTTTATGCCTTAGTTGTTTATTTCATATGATTTTTAAATACTTACTATCTGTAGGTTTCCGATCTAATATAATCAATTACATGAGATACACCAACTTGAAGTTGGTCAGCAATTGGAGCAACCCAAGGATTAAACTCCATTCTTAATACAGATTTATTTCCAAATAAATCTAAATTACCCACTTCTGGTGGTAAAACTGTAAGTCGATTAGCTTGTATGTGTAACTCACGTAATCTGGGTAAATAACCAATCTCTTTTGGTATATCAATTAAATCATTTTCTCGTAGAACTAGCTGCAAAAAAAAATTAATAATAATAAAACATTGAAATATATTATGTTTAAATGGTTAGCATGATTTTTTCAGAACTACAAACAAAAAATTACTGTTATTCAAAACTTTTTTTAAAGGAAGTTAAGATTGTTAAACAAGTACCTATATAAATGATAAAAATGAAGACATGTTAAATGTTATAACAGAGTATAAAACTTACAATTTGAAGATTTTTTAGTTGTCCAATTTCCGGTGGTATAGTCTCAAAATCATTATCACCCAAGTATAATGCACGTAAAGTTTCTAAAAAATTATGAAATATTTGATTCCAGATTTAAGAAACGATATAATATTACTAGTTTATAATTAGTAATTACCCAACATAAAAAAATTTCCTGGCAAACTGGATTCACTTAGATTATTGTATGTTAAATCTAATACTTCAAGAACTGCAAATGCTCCAAAACCTCGCGGTAACGAGTCCAAACGATTCATTCTAGAAAAAAAATTGATAATAGAACTATTATACCATGCTTTACTTTTAAATTTTATTGTAAACAGATTATTTAAGCTTACCCAACATTCAATATACGCAATTTTGGCATAGACGAAAGAGAAACTGGCAATTCTTCAATATGATTGTTAAATAAATTTAACATCTCTAGCTGAGTTAAATTTGCAATCCCAGGAGGTACTTCTAGAAATTCATATTTTCCAATTAAAAGTAAAATTTTATGTAAAAATGTTAAACAATAATATCATTCAATGATATTACGCAGAGAGTGTTTGGTTATATATGGTCAATGCTAACTTTTTACTGACCAGTATAATATAAAAATTTATAAAATACTCGTACAATAATTTAACAGACTTTTAAGGCTGTAAAATGTAAATACAGTTAAGTTTATGTCAATAGTTTCAATTAAGTATAAAAATATATATAAATAAAATTAAGCAAGTAATACGTACTTTGTATTTTATTGTGACTTAATGTAATACGAGTAATATTATGCATATCAACTGAAATCAAACAATAAAAATGTTGTTAGACACAAAATTAAAAAAAAATATGGGGTTTAATAATGAAAAACAAAACATTCATTTCAAATTATTTATTTGATTATGAATAGCTGTTATCATTTTATAGAAAATAGCTAATCATATTATAGCGATATTTTTACCGTTGTCATTTGATTCTTATAGTTTTTAATAACATTATAGTTATTTTTTATCCATTATAATGAATCATTATATTTCTACAGAGTTATAACCATCCTATAACAGGGGTRGTCAAACAAGGGATATAATATAGGTATATCCTCCTGTGAAGCAGTGACCTTCTTTTCAATATCAATAATAATATTATACTATTGATATTTTTATAAGGAAATTAATGTGGATAATATTATAGTATTTTTTTGTTAAGAGATAAAATATAAATATAAATTGAAAATTTTTTTTTTTCATATTATATAATTTATTAGACGTGGTATAACTAWAGAGGTAATTGATAATTCCTGTATTTATTAATACTGTAGTACTGTACTGTGGTTTAGGCTAAAAGAAAATACATGAATGAATAAAAGAGATTTCTTTTCTAGATGAATTAAAATGTTAATTTTGAATTTTTTAAATAAATAAATAAATATCCACAATTTGTAGCTTGTGTACAATAAGCAAATGTGATRAATACATAAAMAATGAATTAAATAACATGRCTTAATTATTATGAGAAGAGAGGCTATCCATTGATAGAACCTTTCAAAGTATGATTATTATTTTTAATTTGGGCTAGATTTGCCTTAAAAGGGACTCATATAAAATTAATTTTATGTGGATTTAAGTATAGGTCGAAGTATATACAGACGATTATTTAGAGTTTGGGGTTTAGATTTTAGGTGAGGGTCTCAGGCTAGACGTTTATCAATAGTCCTAGATATTTTACCAGAAAGATTTTTAAGATATTAATTCCTTGTAATTGCAGCAAAAAAAAGTCATTTTTACGGAGAGTAAATATTGCGTGGAAAGATTTTTTGTAGTCAATTTTGATTTGCCCAAGTATTAATTAGGTCAAGATGGGTGAAGAAGAGCATAAGAGGCTAGTATGAGGTTAATGTTGGAGGTCAGTATAGCAGTGTCATCGATTTACATAGCTAAATTAGCATTTGCTATTATGGGGTTTTCAGATGTGCAAATATTGAATAACTCTAGTTTATAGAGGATGCCAACATGTCAAACTCGATTAAGCGCCTGAGCAAAGTTAAAAGTCTCCTGGGCAGAATAAATAATAGTTACTGTATTTATTGTTATACTGTGGTTTAGGCTATAAGAAACTGTTTGAATAAATAAATAAGATTTACATTATAAATAAATATCATAAAAACTTAAATATTTATATATTCAGTAATTWTTATATTATTCTATAAATCAATTTAAATGGCTTGACTACAGTGGCTGTTGATTGTATTGATGTAAATATAGCCATAAAAGAATTATTTATCTAAACAAAAAAAAAATATTTACTAATTTAGGCACAAAAAGCTATAAAATCCAATAATTCAAGTTTAGTGGTTGAACTAACAGTTGTCCCCCTTCCCTTATCATTTTTTTTTACCTTTTAGAAAACAAATTATGAACAAAAAATATTTATACATTGAAAATATTATATTATATTTTTTTAAATATATTAAATGTTRGTTAATTATCTATTAAAGATCTAGTGGTGTAGTTATAAAAATATAATAACTAAGAAACATTGTAGAAAATGATAGAGATGTCCTTATAAGGCGATAGTAAATAAGAAACAAGTTTCCATAAAAGGAAATGTTTAAATTTAGTATACTTACTGAGTCCTGGCATCTCTTCGAAGGAAACTACCCCCTTATCCGCTAAATCCAACTCWGGATTTTGATTTTCCAGTGCTTCTTCAATCACTTTCTTCGCTTTCGACATTTTCGGGGTTGTTGGTAAACAAGAAACTGGTCCATTTTCCATGATGAGCGGGGAGAGGTATACACGTAAAAATGAAATAAAAATACTGATAATATTATCAAAACGCATATTACAGTGTGACCATTTTACATATTTACCATTTGGTTATTAGAATAAGAAATTTTTCATTCAATAAAAAATAAACATCAATCTAAAATTGTTTTCATATTTTCTTATTTTAATTTATATTCGGATGTATTAAAATTGCATACTTAAAGTGCCGTAAATAATACTTAATAAAGATGTGTATTATTGGTCAACTACCTATTCTTAGAGGAGTAAATTAGTTGCTATCGATAAGTACCTATACAATCGTTATTACTTTAACTTTTTATTTTTATAAAAAACGTTAAGAGTACGCTTAGACGCAATATACGCGCACGTTGTCTCCGTCTTGAAAGTGCRTARCATGGCAAATTTTACGCTCAGCAGATCACGTTTAGCTCCGTGAGTTTAAAATTTAGAGAGAATTGACCTCTTATAAAAATTAAATGTAACATTATTTTCGAGAGTTTCTCATAGGTTTTTTTTACTATATTTTAATTTTAAAGTGAGTTCTGAGTATTTTAAGGTATATAAATAATTTTCAATTTTAAAATATACAAAACTCGCTTTAAAATTAAAATATAGTAAAAATCCTATGAGAAGCCCTCGAAAATAATGTTACCTTTAATTTTTAATTTTTATAAGAGGTCAATTCACTCTAAATTTTAAACTCACGGAGCTAAACGTGATCTGCAAACACGGAGACAGCAACACATGTGCGTCTATTGGGTCTAAGCGTCCTCTTTTCCAAATAATGAACTATTTTAAAATTGTAAATATACCTTGCGATCGACCACTATATTTAGGTACCAAACTGTATTGAGATCAACCGATTTTGGTACCTAAAATTAATGTTTAATATACGATTTTACCGCATTATTCCGACTGTATTTTTTGTATTTTTAAATAGTGTAGGTATTATACCTGCAGCTGCATTTCACGGAGCGCAAACGTAGTATAGCGTTTTTTGTTGGTAAAAAGGTATAGGATGGACGTAATCGTATTTCGTGCTATAACTCGATACTCGAATATACCTACCTAATATTCTTTATAAAAGATCGATTAGTTGGGCTAACTTTGATTTATATATATAGTATACCTTGTATTAATTTATTGTATCAACTTACTATTATAAAAGTTTATTTCAAATTAGGTACCTAAGAATTTTATAATTTATTACATTTATCCGTTTAAGACATAGGTTATAGGTATATGAAGAATGAAAATCCATTATAGTACACGAATGCYCTTATATGTATATGATGGTGCAAGCATAATACCTAAACATGATATATACACTGGCACACTGCAATACGCATTTTATACTATATATTATATCTAAATGTTAAAAAGTCATATGGTTAACTTCTCAGTTCTCCGAAATAAAAGTTGAAATTTATATTCATTAATATCTGAAGGGAGTATATAGATTGAGTTTGGCGTCTCTAAATGCTGTAATTATAAGTAATTATAATTTATTATAAACTTGTATTTCGCGCATCTAATACACAATTAAGTGCTGCAACAGCGAAACTTCCATAATACAACAACACGAATTTTCAAAAAAAAAAAAAAAATCGTTTTATAAAGAAATTCGTTGAATAGAACTACTTGAAAAAATTTCTTTTTAATTTTGTTTGGTTCTTAAATATATATTTTACTTAACAGAAAATTGTGTTCAATAAAAGTTTGTTAGTTTGTTACATACATATTAATATATTATGTAGGTACATTGTATGTATATTATAAGTATATATATAACATATTATACCTATATGAAATCGAATATTATAAGTACACCTACTTTCGTTAAAAAAACAGATAACTGCAGTGAACTATATATGATGGAAAGTTTATTTATTTTATCAACTCAATAAAATATTATGTTTGCGGTTATATTAACTATTATAGTTAAATTATATTTTTAAATCGATCATACGAAATTCCGCGATGAAAGTAATAGTAAAAGTTCGACCAAATTTAATATCACATACCTAYATAGTACAATCTTTATTCTTGGTCTTTGATATAAAATATAGAGGAGAAAATTGTGTAATACAATGTTATAATTTATATATTTATTTTTTGTTACAGTGTACCTATATAGTATGAAAAATATAATATTTTTTTTTTTTACAAAATTAATATAATTGGAAAATAGTAATAATAATAATACGTGGAATTTTAATAAGTTGTTGCACAGTCCTGGAAAAAGATAAAGGAGGTGTATTGTACTGTGTAATGCCTTTTGATTCGCCGGCACGACTTGTCGACAACCAATCAGAGCCTGCCGCCCAAAGCCATGCGCATGAACGTTGCGCAGTAACTGAGAAGTTCGAATAGACCCATCCCGCGAGTAACTCCTGTTAGTTCATCGCCGAGTGTCGACTTGGTCTTACCTATTTTAAGGTCCGCGGTTTTTAATTGTTCGTAATTAGGTTTTATTTCAATCTCCTTTATTCCATATCCATTCTTAATCCTCTAATTTTCAATCTACCTTCAACTTCTCAATTTTCAATTATGTCTACATTCAGAAGAGTAAGTATAACTTTTAAGTATTTTTTTTTTTTTTTTTTACAAAGTTTTTGTATGTTAATTAATTTAAATTTTTCAAAACCTGCATAATTTTTTTCATTTTTCAAAAATTTAAAAAAATTTTTTTTATTAAAATTTTAGGGATCGATTTTTCAAAACCAAGACGTGCCGGAAGTCACATCACCTTCCGTAGGTCAAGATAGAAGTGCTAGAGATTTCAATAGTTTCTTTTCTTCACCTGATCAAAGCCTAAGTCCATCAAGAAACAATTCTGGTAAGTATCTTCTTATTTATTTATTTTTATAAATTACATTTAAATAAAAATTTTTTTTATTTTTAGGGGAATCATTGAACTCTTCAGAGTATTTTTCTTTAAGTACGCCACGCAGTTCAATGATTGGTCGGCAATCTGTCCCTAATTATTCTACACGCCAATATACAGCTCAGGTAAATATACTACTTTTTATTCAATTTTATAACATATAATATAGCCTTCTATGTCAAAAGTGTTTTCATTAATCTCTCTGACATGGATTTTAACAATAATCGTTGCTATGCATTAATTCGTTTTGTTTAATAAAAAAAATAATTTTTTACATGATTGTTAATTTGCATTAATTTACTAAAAAACTACGTACTGATAATTTTTTTTAGGAGCAATTAGCAAATATAAGACGCAACTCTCTTCATTTGCCGTATCTCGCGGATCGTAGTTTGACAAATATGACTGATTTTGGAAATGTAAGTCAAACCGAAGAAGTCGACGTCGGGCGTAAAAATCTTCGTCGTCCAAAATTGGATTTATCGTTTACCTCTTACGGTGGTTATCAAATTCCGCAACAACAGTATCGTATTTCGCCTACATTTAGTGATGGTAGTGATCCGCTTCTTTCGCATCTCATGATGGGATCTAGATCTAATACTCCAGATGATTCTGACATTTCCAACAGTCCAGAAGCTGTATCTGATTTAATTGTGAGGATATTTTACTACCTAATCATTTTATACTTAAAATACTAATTCTTGTTCTTTTTTCAGAATCAAGTTAATATAAATCCTTATGGTTCATCTCCACTGACGGAACAAGACTTGGCTAATATGCAACGCATATCGAGTGGGAGGTTATCTGCTGGTGAAAATATACATCATCAAACTCAAAATTTACTAAGCACATTATTGGCTAACAAAAGTCAATATCCCACCCGTTATGGTTCGCCAGCCGCTGGTCAGTCGCCTGTTTACGAGAAGAGATCTCCTCCTCCGTTTTGGTCACCCACGAGACCAAAAAGCGATAGTAATAATAATCAAGTTGAAAATCGATCTTTAAATCGCAATTCGTTTAGTAAGTCCTGTTATATTTATTTTATTATATTTGTTAAAATTAATTTTATTATATTTGTTAAAATTAATTTTATTATACTTGTTAAAATCAATTTTATTTTACTCTCACACATAAATTTATTAAATCATTTAATTCTCCCTCTCCATGTTTATAATAAGACAAATCTTAATTTAGTGTTACAACTAAATTTTTTTAAATAACAATTTCTATTCACTGTTTAAATAGATAAACATTATAATGTGTGCATATGTTTTATTTGAATTATTTTGTTATAGGTGGCTTACACAAAGATCCTGTATTTACTTGGAGTGGTCAACTTCCTAAAATTATACATAGTTCCCCAAATTATTCTTGCAAAGTATTTTTGGGAGGTGTACCATGGGACATAACTGAAGATGGATTAATTATGGCTTTTGGTCAATTTGGATCTATTAAAATTGAATGGCCAGGCACATCAACTAACATAAATCAACCGAAAGGTTATGTTTATGTAATAATGCAATCTGATCAAATGGTGAAACAGTTGTTAGAGTCATGTACTAAAAGATTAAATGGGAACTATTATTTCAAAATTTCGTCACGAAAAATGAAAGGCAAAGAAGTGCAAGTTATTCCATGGTTAATAAATGATAGTAATTGTGTTAAACATCCTTCTCAAAAGTTGGATCCTACCAGGACAGTATTTGTGGGTGCGTTGCATGGAATGATGAATGCCCAAGGATTATTTAGAATTATGGATGATTTGTTTAGCAATGTTTCATATGCAGGTATTTAAAAATATATTAATTGGACTAAAACAAACTTAAATTTAAATTAAATTTAAAACAATTTATTTTATAGGAATTGATACTGACAAGTATAAATATCCGATTGGTTCGGGCAGAGTAACCTTTAGTACTTACCAATCCTATACAAAAGCTGTGGCTGCATCGTTTGTTGAAGTTAAGACTCCTAAGTTTTGCAAAATAGTATGTTAAAAATATTTTTACTCATAATTAAATTGTATTAATGGAAACTGCTTTAGATTCAGGTTGATCCGTACTTAGAAGATAGTGCTTGCAGCGTTTGTAATATTCAACTTGGTCCATACTTCTGCAGAGATCAATTGTGCTATCGTTACTATTGCCGTGGATGTTGGAATTGGAAACATACAAGTACTACATTAAGTACACATCGTCCGCTAATGCGAAATTCTAAACACACTCCAACTAGCATATGTTCACCACCAAGATTTACATCTCCTAACAACAACAGTTTTTCTTCACCTACACGTCAGTGAGTTGGGAATTTTTGAATGATCTAATTCGCATATAATTAATTTACAAACATTATTTGTCATAGGTTTGAAGTGGAGCAATGATTATGAAAAATAGCCATTTATTTTTATTGTTATGTTTTGAGAGATTATTATTATGTATTAAGAGTACAATTTTGTTAAAATATTTATTTAATTAGTGTTCTTTATTATTTTTTTTTTTTTTTATGATGGGTTATCAAAAAGTTTATAAAATTACTGGGGTTTACTAAAACAACAGTATCTTTTTATTTGTTGCATTAATATTACTATTCTTGAAATTTGTATTTAATTACAAAACTATAATATTGCATGATATCCTTATTTAATTTTTTGAAATATACTTATATTTTTACAGTAATCTATAGTGTTTTCTCTTAACCTTTTCTTCTTCAATTTCACTAATTTAATGAGAGCTAAAGAAACTTGAAAAGTTTTCGAATAAATTGCGTTATCATGCAATTCATTTAATAAGTTTTATCCATGAAACCGGTTACAATTGTGTAGATGGTCAGAGTAAAATTCTTCATGAAACCAGCAGTAGTTTGATTAGAATTTTAAATAGKTATTGATGTAATATTGTTGGTAACATTGACATAATTTCATTAAGGTTTAATAGGTGCAAAACTTAACGGTTTTATAATTGTGATGACAAAACATCAAGTCATATTTACAGCTAATTGCTTTGCTTGCATTGTATGTTTTTACATTTAATCACTATATAATATAAACAAATATCAAAATMTTTATCTTATGTCTTACTTAGTAAATCTGTATGTGTTGTATGGTTGTATCTGTTCATTACACATTATACTTATAAAAAATATAATATCCATAGGAAATGAATTACAGTGACAACAAAATGTTTAAATAAGCTTATAAAATATTTAAATCAATGAAATATAGTATTGTATTTTAATAGGTATAAAGTTTAGCGCCTACAAGTGAAAAAACATATCTGTGCAGCTGCCACAAAATATACCAGGGGGGTGTAAGTTCACCGTTGTGCATCCCCATAATTACGCCAATTGCTACTATGTTTATATATTTTGAGTTCTATTTTAATTATTGAAGTATCACTATGACACTATATATTAATTTATAATAAGTATATAATATATAAAATAAATCAAATGTCATAACATATCTATTTTTATTTATATAATATAAAATATTTAGTAGATTAATATCTATAAATTAAAATTAAATATTTATTACTTTACATAAGGTAAGATACAATAAAAATGTCTTAATTTAATTTTTTTACATTACTTAATACTCAGAGTTTCCAGACATATTTGTTGACAAATCCATATTAATACTAGAAGTATCAGCTGCTGAACTTGAATCTATAACCATTGCACTACTACTAGTAGTATCTCCTACAATGTTACAACTATTATCTCCTACATTAGTATTACTATTTGTGTCATCAGTAGGATTGTTGCTACTGATATCTTCTAAAGGATCAGTACTACTTGTATCTTCAGTCTTCTTTTTTAACCTTCTGTTCCATAGTCTTAAATTAGGATTTCTGAATGGTAGTATGACGTCATTATCATCATTCATTTTTAATAATCTATTGGTTTTTGGTGATTTTTTACTAAGTTCAAGCTTTAATGATTCTGTTGCCTCATCTGAATAATCATCAAACAAAGGAGGATCTTCAATGCATATGYCCAAGACGCATGTTAACATGGTACTACTAAATGTATCTTCTCGCTTTTGGCCCAAAGCCTTATGAAATGTATCTACAGCATCTCTAAAATTATTATCGAGTGACTGAACAAATCCAATACATGTTAATGTAGACGTGTTCATAGGAGATATAACTAAAGCCTTAAAAACAATAAAGATAAATTAAAATATAAAATGTTCATGTTATTTTGGTGTGTAGGTTCTTACTTGTTTATGATATTCAAGAGCTTTTTCATAGTTTTTCATCTTTCGATATACATGTCCTAAATTGTTGAAAAGCGATTCCCATTTATTAGCTATTATAGGTTGTTTTATCTGTTTAATTCTTTCAAGTGCTTCAAGGAATCTAGCTTCAGCATCTTTATACCTTAAAAATAGGAGAACGATTAATTTTATAAATATACTAATTATTGTAAATTTAACTAATATAATTAAGTTTAAGTTTTAAAAAGTATTACTAAGATAAGTATTGAACCTATATTTTTTTTCTGKTGACGTTCAACAAATTTAAAAATTTAATCTGAAAATCTTAGTAATTAATTTTAAGCAAAAAGTTTCTCAGGAATAGCTCTGCAGTTAGCATGCCTACTTAAGCTGACAGTTTACCACATCATTATAAAGTATTATTCTCTTTTTAATCCATTCAAAATACCAATGGTAGTAATTTGATCAAAACACCATATTACTTTCTATAATCAAATTTCAAATTATGTTTAAAGGTATCTTTTATTTATTTATTTTTTTTCCTTATGGTATCGAGGACCGGAGAAGGAACTATGTTGCCAATACTTCTCCTATCTTACATGGAATCTGAATAATACATTTTATTTCGTAAAGGTACATCTAGTATACTTGACTAGATGTTTAAATTCATCTATCATTCATTATTATTATGTATCAACTAAATTGTTCTGTTACATTTAGCATTTTTACAATGTTAGAATATTTAGATTAAAATAAATATATCACAGGTAATATGCAAAAATCTTGACTTTTTAAGTTTAAATTTATGTATATAGGAATTTTATTTTTGTTTCCTATCAAAATAAATAATGTTTTGTATTTTAAATTGTCTGTTGAACATTTAAATGAATAAATCTATGATCAAAATTTGATTTTAGGGTTTTGAAATACAGTTTAAAAAAAAACAATACTTAAGTTACTTCAGATTTTTTAATTTTTAGGAATGTCTCATTGCGGTCCAGACTAGGTTCAAATGAAGACAACCCCCCTTTTTTTTATTTTTWTTTTTTTATTAGCTTTCAGTTTAACTATTACAGCTCAACAATTATATGAAAGATATAACAAGATACAGTACTATAGAATACAATATTTAAACAAAAAAAAAAAAAAGAAATTAAAAAGTAAATTAAATAAAGAAAATGAAGACAACCCCTTAATATTGTWAATAGTTAAGCCAGGTTTTTATTTAGTTAGCAGAAAACTAGGCCAACAAGTCTTAACATTTTTTTTTGTATTCATATAGCTATTATAAATATATAAAGATTTGACTAAAATTGTTTTCGTTGGACCTCATTTATTTAATATTTTAATCATCTGGACTTTATTTGAAATTACTTGCCTACCCCTACCTTAAATGTTTATTCCTTTATTACATTTACAAACAATATATGATAAATACTGATAAACAATCAGTGTTAATACAAGCCCGAATATTTTACCAATAATGTTATTAATTATTATTATTATTGAAGTATATTAGGTACTACATTAATAACTAATATATTAGATTGTATAGTATATTAGTTTAAAATATTGCTATATATCATGACAACAAATGTATAATATTATTACATTTAGTGCAATGTTAATATTACTAGGTACATTAGTTACTAGTAAATGTGTGGAAAGGATTAGTTACTTTAAACCCAATTGGGTACCCATCCAGGAGCTAGCAACAGTGTGCTAGTTGCACTTAGAGCATTTCCGCAGTTGATCGAACGACCAAGCTGCAATATTATATTTCATAGACTTGTGATTATAGTACATACATTTTACAAAAATTCAGAAACTTATATATTGAATATCAAATTAGATAGGTACATCAATATTAATTWAAAAAAATCAACTAGAATAGAAAAAAACGCTTGTTTTCATTTKAAATATTGTTTTAAAGAGGATCTGGCACCCGCATATGTTGTAATATAGCAAATTGTACGCTCGACAGCTTTAAGAATCTGGAAGTTGAGGTCCGGGGTGGCYGAACCCAAATAGTTTGGAGTAAAGGTGAAAGAAGATCTCTTATAGAATATAAAAGTAAAATTATTACCTACGACATCTWATAGGCATTTTATTGTATATTAATTTTAAGCGTGTTATAAATATTTTTAAATTGTAAATTGTTTGTTACGTATTACATACAATTCCTAAAACAAAAATATGAATAAATGCGTTATCAGTTTATCATAAAGAAAAACTAAAGGTATAGTCACTCTGTATATAATTTAGGCTATAGTAAAATTGATTAATATACTAAAAATAACTAACATTTTACTATTGATGTAGTGTGTTCTCAACATATTATCAATATTATTTAATCATTTTACATRCTATAAAACATACTTTTAGTAAATATAAATTATACATCAATTATATTATAATTTAGACTACTTTTAATCAATTACTAGATGCATCTAGTTAACTTTAAACATTATCAATTAATATTAAATGATAAAAAGTTAAAATTAGTAAAATGACTAGTTTCAAATGTATGCATTTTATAAAATGATATTAAGTAAACTTAAATTTTGCGCCTTTTACATGTAAATGCTTCATTAAATATTTTAAAGTGCCGACTATAAAAATGCCAACCAAGGTCTGGGCTATGTCTTCTAATCCTTAAGCTGCTGGGGGCCTCCTCAGAATCTGATTTTTGGCTTTCTATTTTCAATAAGATCTTGTTAAGGCATACATTGTCAAGTTTAGCTGCATCATAAATAAAGAAGGTTTTGATTTTAACAATAGAAATGTTACTAAGTAGGTCAAAGTCGTCAAATCAACACCGTTAAATAGAAAGAGGATTTTTAGGTTTTTAAATATTTTGACTGGCTTAATGCAACTTTACGACGATGAAAAATGTGGACGATTTATTTATCACAGTTTGTGGAAAAAAAAATGTATTATTGTTATTATGTAATATTTAATATTTATTTAAGAATATTTAGCCTATTTTTCGTATTTTARAATATATTATACTATTATTGTTCATATAAAATTATGTATTTTGTTAATTTCTCATATTATGATTTTTTATAGCAACAATTTTTACAAGACCAAAAAAAAAATGAATAATAAAAATTAAATCATTCAATTATTAACATTTTTATGCTTATATAATAATTTAACATACCTATGGCTTTGAAAAGCAATAACTCCTAATTCATGTAAGACAAATGGATCATTTGGAGCAATTTCCAAAGCTTCTTTTAAATACTTTTGAGCCATGATAATGTTATTTGTTAAAGAACACTCTAAACCAATATATAGAAGAGGTAAATGACATCTAAAAATAAAATAAAATTTTAATGCATGTTTCTTATTTGTTTTCAAAGATAAAATAAATACTAAC